CCTGCTGACAAGTCTCACACAAAGAGACAATGTGATTGCAACTTTTCAGTCTAGCCTGCCTGCTTCTTAAAGTTGCTCTTTTTTTCCTTTAATTTTAGGTTCAGAACAATTATAATGGAGGATTTTTTTTTTTGTCTGTTTCTATTTCTAGTTGTTCTGCTGTCACTCTGATGAGTTAATTGATGTTCACCCACGCAGCATTTAAAGAGTAGACACAATCACAATTTACCAGCAGAAATCATGAAAATGAGGTTTCTCCATGATGTACTAGTGTGCATTTTAGCCCTTGTATTTCATGGATATTGAACTCCACCTGGTCCCTACAGACTGCATCTCCTGTATTATTGCTGCTCATCCACGATGATGGTGTGGTCAGTTTGATTATTCCACTTTATTTCTAGGTCCTCCTGGTCCCCCAGGGGTTGTAATAGTGGAGGAAATTACAGACACCACAGCAACACTCTCCTGGAGTCCTGGGGCAGATAATCACAGCCCTATCTCCCTCTACAACCTGCAAGCACGCAGTCCATTTTCTCTTGGCTGGCAGACCGTAAAAACAGGTGAGAAAAACTTTCAAACAGCACAAGTAGACTGTTCAAAATTCTTGTTCATCACAATAATAACCACTGGCAACTGCAGGAACAGATACTCTTAAGAGAACAATGATAAATTAAAAACACTGATTTTTTTTTCCTTTTTTCATTCCTTTCACGTTACTTAGCAACAGCTCTGAAAGGACAGCACAAAGACACCTGCCATGATGCATCTGTGAATAAACAGAAAGCTCTCCCTTATATCCTTCAATCCGTGTCTTTTCAGGAGTACCACAGTGCCAAAAACCTAGCTGTGATTTCTGACATATTAGATCTTTGATGTCTATCATTTTGAATGGCCATATTGTGTCACAAAGTCCATTTGCCACTGGCAAAGTGCACGTGAGCTTCAGATTCCTGAGTGACCTACACATTTCTTTACTGTCTGCAGTTCCAGATGTGATAAGTGGTGACATGGAGTCTGCTATGGCTGTTGACCTGAACCCGTGGGTGGAGTATGAGTTCAGAGTTGTAGCAACCAACAAAATTGGGACTGGAGACCCAAGTGCACCATCGCGAGTGATCAGAACTAATGAAGCAGGTAAGAAGAGGATTAAATGTTATTTTTCCAGGACTACCAGAAGCAAGAACTATTTTAATATAAGAATAGAATTATTCTTCTCCCTGGTACATATCTGTGTATTCAGTCATCACTGTTCTATTGTGATATTCTTTGTAATAGGGAGACAGTTTCTTTTAATTACAGGAACACTGTTTAATTTACAGAAATTTCAAATAAACCCATTCCCTGCTGTCTTACTCCATCCAGTCTGCCTTACTCTTCAAATTCCATATAAGCCATTCTGCCTGCCCTCTGTCAGGCTTCCACTGTTCTTCGATTGCAGGCTGCTTCTCAGTCTCTGCACACGACTTCTCCCAGGCAGCTTCTCCCCTCTTATTCATAACTCTCTCCTTGAAGGTGCACAGATTTCTTTTCAGCAAGATAGAGAAGCCATGGTAAGATGCGTAATTTGAAATACCTTGTGCTCTAAAATGTTTCTTTGTCATGCACATTCTACCATGAACTGTTAGTACATTTAAAGAAATTTCATTATATTTCTGACTGGGATGGTTCTGTGGGAGCCCAGGAAAAATGTTGTATATTCTATCTGGATCTCTTGAAAATTGCAGTGGTCTTAGAAAGTTTGGAATCACTGACAGTAATTTGGGCAAAATGAAGGGAGATAAAGAAGGATTTGGAATCAGAAAAATACCTAGGCAGCTAGAGAGACACATTTTCAGAAGCAGAAGGAGATAAGAGATAAGATTTGAACAAAGCCTCAGAAGAGAACTGCATCTCATAACATTTTCATATTATTCTTCATTCATCTTTGTTATTTAGGAAGCCTAGAGAGTTTTGATTTTGTTCTGATGTTTCTTCAGCTAAATAATTTGTAAGTAAGTAGTTTATTAATCATACAGAATATATTCAAAGATTCCACTTGAATTTGAAAGTATAACTGATTTTGTAGTTGTAAATATTCTGCATGAATACAGCAGTTGTGTTGCACTCTGTCTTCTCATTAAGGGAGATTATAAGAATTACAAGTGGCAATGCCAAAATGTGTCTGCTTCTCTCATGCTGAAATAAAATTCCTATCTTTTAAGGTACGTTAATCTTGTGCCTCAGCTCCATAGTTCACTGGTCGGTCTATACATCACCCATAAACATTCACAGCAGAACATTCTCCTGATTTTCTTAGACAAAACCACAGAATCAACTAAATAACTGGGGCTGGAGGTGTTCTCGGGAGGTCTCTAGTCCAGCGTCCTGCTCAAAGCTGCGTAAACTGACTCCACAAGTTGCTCAGGGCTTTGGTCCAATTGAGTCTTTGAAACATCCAAGGAGAGAAATTGCACATCCTTTCTGGTCAACTTGCATGAGCAGTTAACTAATATCACTGTGATTTTTCTTTCAATATATCCAACCACAACTCCCCCTGTTTCAATTTATGACCACTGTCTCTTGCCCTCCCACCCTGCACCACTATGAAGAGCCTATGTCTATGTCCTCGGTGATCTCTCTGTAGGCAATGTGGGCTGCTGTTAGTTCCCCCCAAAGCCATCTCTGCTCCAGGCTGAACAAGCCCAGCTCTCCCAGCCTCTCCTCACAGGGCAGGTACTCCAGCCCCACCATCCCAATGGCCTCTCCTGAACTTGCTCTAGTTGATCAATGTCTTTCTCATTGTGGCACCTAAAATTGGATTAACTATTTCAGATGAAGTCTAACAAACCTATCTTTAGTTGTAATAAGACTTTTTTTCTGCTTTAAATAACTTTGTAGTTGTTAGCTGATGTTAAATTCCACTGTGCAATTACGGAACTGCACTCAAGTGATTTGATTCCCCTTCACGCATATGGAAGGATGCTCTTTTCCAACTCTCCCCCTCATCTTCTGCGAGCTCCCCACAGTGTGAAACTCAGTATCTTTATATCAGAAGCTTCAGATGCTACGTACTTTGTTCCATTAAGAAAAGGAGGAAAGGAAGATGAAATAAAGCAAAATGAGCTACTTTTATATCAATTAATTTTTTAAAAAAACCAAACTTATCTCACCGCTATTATTCTTTCCTTGATTTTGTACCATATTTCATTGGCAGTGAAAATTATGTTGGACCCAAATGTTTGAATGACTTCTCTATTTATTCAGGTGTCACTTATCAGAGAGGGCATAAACATTCTGTAAAAAGTTTATCCTCTAATAGGTTGCATTCCCAGGAATATGTTCTTTCAGGTTTATGAATATGTTCACTGTTTTTGAAAGGTTGGTTGAGGATTTTAATTGATAAGATATATGTAAGCTGTGAGCGAATGCTTTTTCTCACAAAGTGAAGTTTGAAAATGTAAGATTTCATCTAGCTGTCATAGTTTTTTTAGGTTCCTCCTTCTTCTTTCCCAGTGTTTACTAAACAAAGGCTGTATTTACTAAAACATATTCCTATAACTCCAATGAAAGACTTCTTCACGCATATTAATTTTCAATATTCCTTTGGGCAACCATTGCAAACTCACCTCTGTAAAAAATGAATTGATAAATCATAATAATGATCAGTAAAAAAAAATAAAAAATTGGAGCAGACATGCAGTGTGCAGTGTATTTTCACATGGTGATTGGTAGTCAGTTCTGGGTAATACTCCACTATTGCTGCCGTAGGAACAAATAGTCTAACTCAAGAAGCAATGAGCTGTACTCCAGAACATGGGGCTTCTCCTGATAAACACCACTGTATCTGCTAATAATGCAGTCCTTCTTGATGAATACATCTGTAACATATTAGTTCAAATTCAAAAAAGGCCACACTAGATGTTTACTTGTACTTTCAGCTTCCCAGTTTGGAATACCTCGTTGCTATCAGAGTTAGAGCTACACAAATATCATGTTAGAAGTGAGTGTTTTGTAGCATGACATTGAAATCCAGACAGGTGCCAGTAAAACAACTTAACAGCCTTCAGAGCGATTGAAGCTGAATTTCTTTGGTGTGCCTGCTTAACATGGCATGCTACAGCAGAAGTCTGTTGAAGTCATCATTTCAATTTCAAAAGTCCTTAAAAAATTAGTTTTCTGTTTCAGGTGTGAATAGTTTTGGAGTTTGTATGTGGGATTTTGGGTTTTTTTTAATAAAAAAGTTTAATTCAGTCTCCTTCCTTTATTCTATTGAGGGAGTGAAAAGACAGGAGTTATAGTAAGATAAAAATTCCCAGTTTGTAAGAACCTCCGAAGAGTTGTAAAGTTTTAACAACAACAAAATGGACTCTGCTTTAAAACAAACAAAAAAAAAAAAAAAAAGCCCTGTTACACATATAATTTTTTGCAAAAAAAATGTTGCTTATAATTTTTATGTCATTCTTGAAATGCCAGAGATTTCATGTTCTGCTTCACCAGACAGACACTTTTTCCTGGCCTACAGATATTCCTGAAGTCCAGAGCCTGTTTAGCTCTGCCCTCTGACACAGCTCTTTCAGTGACTGAATTTTCACCCTTTGTTTAGTTTTCAGAAGCCAGAATCAAAGACACAGGAAAGCTACTAATAGTTTTCACTGAGTTTCATATATGCCTTTACAAATCAACAGAATAATATTTATTCGAGTGTATTACCCATTAATCTATGCTTTTTCAGAAACTCGTTATTACTAATCTTTTATCTGAAAACTTCAAGTAAAAATTTCTATTAACATGGGCTTGAGTACTAATATCATAGGTCTCAGTTCTTAAAAGACGTGTGTGAAAGGACATGGTATTTCAGAAAGAGCACGGCATTAGCCACTTCATTTATGACCTAGGCAGAGTAACCTGGCTATTTGCAGAGGTGTTAGATGTGTCCCCCAGGTGAAAACAGCCAGGCTGTCCCTGCACTGGGTACAACTCCAGCAATATTAGTCTCCCAGCAGCGAGAGTGACTGTGGCTCACGCTCAGGTGAGAGTTGAGACCCACAAGGCTGAATGATAGCTGTGTAGACAACACACAGAGGCAGAAAATGTGTAATTCTGCTTCCATTATTTTATACTTAAATGGAAATCAGCATCTGTAATTTAATGGCACAACCTAATTGGACTGGAGACTAAAGTCTTTTTCTCTCCCCACACATCACTTATTTTATCACTTCTTCCTCAAGATAGTAACAACATTTTATATTAGTCCATTATCTAAAAATACCCACGGAAGCAATACTTGGGATGGTGTAAGGAAATCAACAGAATAATAAACAGGTTTCCACTTGCTTTAATTTTCTAATTAAACTCTGATCTTGTTACTTAGTTCATATTTAGTTAACATGATTGCTTTTCATAGCTACTTTCATTGGAATGGATAATACTGCAGTCTTCTGGCACATCTAACTTATAGCCAGCTGCTGCATTTTTGTCAGTTCTAGCCTTGATACATATTTTACAGGTCCACAAGGTGAAAAGAGCCAATAACATGAATTTAAACATGTCTGGCATTCCACTAAGGCAGTCGGGCATCTGAAGCCTGGGGGCAAAGCATCAATTACATTATCTATTCATGGGGAAACATGGGGAGAGAGAAATTGAATAGAATCAAAGTTTAACCTGCTAATCATGCATGCAAACTTGATTTTATGAGGGAACAATGTAATGTACTCTATTAGCAGGAGATTGTACACAGGTTTTATTTTCAATAAGTCCTTATTTTCCATTAATTCACCCTTATTCTCAGCTAGAATTTTTTCATAGCATAACAAGAAATGCCTCTGTCTCAGGAAAAAGTTACGTATTTCAGACTGTCTTTGTTTCAGTGTTTTGTGGGGTTTTTTTGTGGTGGTCTTTTGCCTGTGACCTGTATAAAGGAAATTTCAGGTTTTCCCATTATCATAACTATTTTTGCTCTAGAAAAAAAATGAATAACCTCCTGTATCTGTGACATTTGGAGATGATTATCTGGGCTAAAGCTTTTGCAGAAAATGTGCTATCACACAGGGAGAAACAAAAGGAGAAGAGGTAGAAATCATTGACTGCATGGGTATATTTAGAACACATAGGCTACTAACACATAATATTGCAGGCTCAAACTAATGCGCAGTATATTGACGAAGAATGCAAATGTGTGTGCTACTAAAAGACGTAACAGGAAACCTGAGGAATTGGTTCTCTGATATATATGCCATGGCATTTGAGATTTCAGTCCTGCATGTGGTGATTTGGAGGCTATTCAGACTGAGTCCAGCAGCCATGCATGACACTATTATCAGTGAATAAAACTGGATCCTATCTCCTACAAAATTACAAATATTATAAGTAAACAAATAAAAACAACAGAAATGGACATCTTGAGACCAGTTAGGGCATCCTTATCTTCCAGTAGTTGAATACAGTGTATAAGCCACTTCTGAGGTGCTGGCACATTTGACATTTCATTCCTGCACAAATGAGATGTGACATGTTTTCCTGGGAGGGTGGGAAGTTGAGGACTGACCTTTCACATAGTGAAAGGGTTTTCATTTAACATCCCTCTGTTTCCCAGATGTGTACTTCAAGAGGGAGAGACAGGTAGGTCGGTCGGTCAGTCGGTCAGTCAATCGATTGATCGATCGATCGATAGAGAAAAACAACTGAGACAAAAAAATGTGCGGAATGTGTTGTTTCTCGGGTCCCCACATTAGGAAGTTCTGTCAAGCTGTCAACAAACCTTTTTTCCCACATCCATTCCTTTTCACAGCTAAAAAGAGTTGGTTTTCAAACTCCATCTGTATCTTAAGAGATCAGGACAAGGTGTAACAGGTTTAAATTGAAAGCAGGTAGATTTAGATTATATATCACGAAGAATTTCTCACGGAGAGGGTGGTGAGGCACTGGAACATGTTGCCCAGAGAAGCTGTGGATGCCCCATCCCTGGAAGTGTTCAAGGCCAGGCTGGATGAGGCTTTGAGCAACCTGGTCTAGTGGAAGGTGTCCCTGCCCATGACAGGGGGGTTGGAACTAGATGATCTTTAAGGTCCCTTCCAACCCAAACCATTCCATGATTCTATGAATTAAAATACATAAGTGGCATTGTCAGCACTTTTCAGCATCTTATAACCACTGCTTCCATACACAAAGCCCTCAGCAACGTCAATCCTGTGCATAAATTTTTTCCTAAACAAAAAAAATAGTGCTTTTTACGTATATTTAACTTTTAGTTTAAGATACACATGAATTATTAAACAAGTGGCCATGGCTTCATGTATAAGCTTTACCTTTTTATATAAACTTTTCTTCATTCATATTTTAAGTATATTGTCAAATATGGCTGCTGAGGACTACATTCGTCATGTATGCCCTTAGAGAAAATGTTAAAGGTTATTTTTTTTTTTACTTTGGTTTAGGGGACATAAGTTTTAGTAGTGTTTAATTTCACTTCCATTTTCAGCTTATCATGGTACTTCCATGAAAATGGAAAACTCTAAGACACAAATTCTGCTGTTTCTGTTCAAATCAAATTCCTAGTAATGTAATTTCAAGATTTGTGTTTGTTTGCCTTAAGTGGAGGTAATCAATATCAACTTGTGCCAGCATATACCCATTACTGTGATCCACATGTCACCATGTCTTTCAGAACATATTTTTAGTACTGTTTGTTTTTTTCATTTCCACAATGATGTAGAGACCTGACCTGCCTTTTAACCCCCAACCTTACCTGTAGCTGAAGAACTTAAAAGAAGGGCTGTCCTGATCCCAAAGAGCTTACAGTCTAAGAATAAACCAGGAGACAAGTGAGAATAGGTTGCTGGCAAAGGAGTTAATGAGAAGGCTTTGATCAGAATTACAGGCATACAATCAAGCTAAGCATAGTCACATTTTATGATCCTAAGAACCAGTTTTAAGCCAAGGAGTGATTAATTTTCCAGTAGGTGACATTCTCTTATCTTCTTGTTAAATGAACATATTAGCACAGCAAAGAGTGCCTTGATACTATTTGGGGTGTATTTATTCAGAAGAAGCAACACTGGATTTCTCAGCTTTGATAAACACTAAAGAAAAAAGGTCCTAATGCCCTTGACCTCCCAGCACATGGATCCTGTATCCAGGAGCTAAGTTTAGTCATCATACTTGCGTATTGGACGCAAGTGCATCTCCATGAGTGTCACTGCTGAGAATTAACAACCTAAAGTTTAGGAAGTCACTAATTGCATGGCAATAAACTTAGTCTATTAGTGAGTAAATTAAGATATAACGCTGATACAAAGGTGATGCTGCTGAAAGGGTTGCTAATATATTACCTTAGTGCCTGGCAAAAAATGTTTTCTTTTAATCGTTTTCTTCACTTAACAGTTACTCATTTCAAAATGTCCCACTCTGTGTGTACCCTGCTTTGGTGCAGTGCAGAGGAAATTGATTCCTTTGACACATTTATTCTTTTAATGGTTATTCATTTGAGAGAGTTTCACTGTGTGAACGTACATTTTAGTTTGGTGCAAAAGAAATTAATCGTTTTGACAGTTTTATTCTTTTAACATTTGTGCACTTAAATAGGGCTTCCGTCTGCAAAGCTGTTAACGTGAAAACTCTGGAAAGAGGACACTGCAGGTTAAATAAGTCCATCACACTGGATGCTTCAAAGGACTACAGCATACCATTCTCATCACTAACATGGCACCTACATAAAGACTTCATTTATCTTTATAACTTAACCGAAAAATGTCATATCAAGGCAAGGAAACAAAAAAAAGTGCTAAATAAGGTTTAAATATGCTCCATTAGAGATGACACCACAATTTGTTCATGTTAATGCTTCATCTGCATCTTTTCACTGTAGAACATTCATCCCAGTATTGTTCACTGATTGGTTGTTTATGGTTTTGTTGGTTTGTTTTGGATTTGGGGTTTGTTTGGTTGGTTTTTTTAATCCAGAGGGAAATTCTGTTTCTGAAAGGGAAATTTTATTAACTTTTTGCCATGTAAAGATTTGGTCAGTTTAAACTAGTTCATGTCTCCAGTCAGTTGAGTCTAAACAATTCTCTCCATTATTTAAACAGTTCTTTTGAATGCAGTGAACCACAGAAAAACTCTGCATTCACTGGAAAAGGAGCCTGGACTAGTTCAGAGCTAAAAAAAAACACTACACAAATTCTGAAATTTTACGTGAACTTCCAGGATCTCATAAAAAAAGCACTTTCATTGAACTTAAGCTTTTAATGATCAACACGGGAAATAGAGGGGACTGTATACATTTATTTAAATGTATTTTCCTTTGCATAGTTCAAAGACACAGTGCTAGTCAATAAATAAGCTAAACAGCATGCAATAAGACCTTAACAGCTAACGCCTCACAGTACATTTGTACCAATGACCTAAGTACTTCTGTAAGGAAGAAAAGAGAAAGTTTATATCTTAGGACATATTTAATCAAATAAAGAATGATGGAAGCATTACCTGCTCTGAGTAAATAATCTCCAGGAATTAGTCATTTTAAGAGCCTCATTAGAGGCACTAAGTAAGGTTAAAAAATTATGCAATTCCAATGGAACAATTAAGATATCTGAAGTTTTAGGACAACCCAATTCCCATTGATGATGATAGTTATAATTTCTTTTAATGAAATTCATCAGCTGCTCCTATGTGCTTTTAAAGCCATAATGGTGGTCTCAGTTTTTAAGAACTGTGGGTAGTAATGCTTCCAGCATTTTGCAAGAAATTATAAGGATAGTTACTTCAAAAATTTCTGAAAATTCTATGTTTTACTCCCTGGTAAAGCATAGAATAATAGATGTACAAAAAAATAAAATATTTTACAACACTAAAGACTGAAAAATACTAGGGTTATATTATTTATGTCCTAAGATTTTATCTGAGGTCTAAAAAGTGTCAGGATCTTGGCTATTTAATTTTGACTTGCCTATTCAAAAAATACAAATGTTAACAAGATAATTCCTTTTTTATCTCTTAGATGGTCTGCACATTAAAATTTTTCCCAATCTACAGAAGACATAGTGCTTAAGCAGCTTTTTATTCCAATATTATTTTTCTTCACAGCTTGTGTTTTGTTTGAGTTTACCAGCTTGACTGTGGAAATCTCTGAAATTAAAACTGAGAAAATTTTCTTTACTACAGAGTGCTATGTATGTTATTTCTGTTCTGATTTAACAGACTCATGTCTTCTGCAGCAACTTATTACTATGGGGAAAACTCAATAACTTGGACATTCTGTTTTGGTTGTTTTTTTTCTTTCCCTTTTCACTCACAGTTCCAAAGACACCTCCAGCTAATGTAAGTGGCAGAAGTGGAAGGCGACATGAATTAGTAATAGCATGGGAGGTAAGGGACTTTTCTGATTAAAGGTTTTGCTTCATGCTTACTTCTTTGAGGGCAAAGTAAAAAGTATGTGCTGGGGTTTCCTTGCAGCAAATCTTGGCAAGACATGAACACAAAGTTCTGTTCTTCAAATATGTTCTAAAGTTTCAAAGTAATGTAGATTTTCATGTGGTTTGAGTAGCCGGCATTATGGTGAATATAACCCACCTAGCAGCAGCTCCAAAGCTGTGCTAATTCATTAATCTTTTCTTCCTGATCTACTGCTTAGGCTGATATGTCTTTTCTGGATCTTATGTAAATGCTACACCAGATTAATTAATAACTAAGCGAAGAGATGGACAGCCTTGTAACTTCTTTTTAAACCTCAGTTGAGAAGGATTTGGGCTTTTTTAAGTACTTCATAAAAATATAACACTAAAGACCTGAAATAGACCTTTATTTTGAAAATACATTTGCAATGCAAGATGAAACATAGATGAATGACCATGCCAGTGGGCAATTGGAGGAGTGGGAGTTGTTTTCTCTGATAATCATAAATAATACAATAGAACAGATACTTTTCTTGAAGCATTTTCAAAACTTCTAGATACATCATTAGGAGGTTCAGATTCAGAAAATATACATATATATATGTATAACACCAAGAAATATTCTATCCAATAAGGACATGGGAATTTAATGAAAAATGTTTTAGCCTAGCTAACTTTAGGAGGGACTCAGTTGGTAAAAGCCATACAGAATTCTTACTAACTGCTTAAAATGGTAAATTTTAGGACATCTAAAGAGGCTGTCTTCTCTTGGCATGCCCATCTTCCCCAACAGCAGCTACCTGAGGCACCTGAGACATTTGATTTCTGCTTGCTTGTAACTGTTAACAAACAGCAGCATCTCTCCTGTTGTGAGAGAATTTGCTGAATCCAAAACAAAACCATCAGGTGGCTAGAACTGTATCTAATGTAAACTGGTCTAAACCTAGTCCCTAATATGATATATTAATATGTAGTATTCACATTAACTGTGTTTATAGTGTTCCCGAGGGGACTGGAGTGAGGGACTACTGAATTGTGTTATATCTCCCTCTCTGTCATGGGTCAAAGTCTTCTTCCAAAAGAAACCAGAGACCCATGGCTTTCTCATCCTGCAGTACAGATACAACAAGCAGTTAAGAATTAACAGTTGCCATAGATAACTTGCAGTATACATGTACTATTTTTCCTCAAAAGACAGCTGATTCTTCTTCAGTTATAGTTAGGGAGTACAAACTGCCATCAAGGCAGAAGGTGTCAATCATTCCCCCTTGTTTCTGATTACCTCATTTCCATCAACACTCAGTGCTGCTGCTCTTGATGTTAACACTTGCAGCACACTGTAGTTTCACATGCCTCTTAAACTGCATAAAGTCATTTATCAAATTAACATTACAAAAACATCATGGCATTTCATCTGTGTTGAATATAAATTGTGAAGTGGGCAAATTTACATTTTTAATTGTTTGAAAAATGCAAGTATTTCTAGTTATAATCAGTCTCCAAGAAAGGGTAAAAAGATAAAACAAAACACAGAAAAACATGTGATTAATAGCAAGTGTTGAGATTTCTGCTAAAAAACTAGTCCTAGTGCACTGGATAACACTCCAACCCACTGCAGACTACTGTGCTGTCTCGTGTAACCACTGAATTTCCATAAGGCACAACCACAGCGTAAATTAGTATAACTCTAGAACAGTCAATCTGAGCTTGTCCCAAAAAAGTCTTATTGAACTTACACAGGCAATAGGAATTCAACAAAGTACTTCAAAATCTGAAAAGATACTGAGATGGTATATGGGTCTCTGGGAATTCAGGAAAAGACTACCTACCTGGGCTTCTGAATTACATTCAGCAGGTTCAAACAAAATTTTATTCACACAACATTAATTCACAGACTGTCTCTTTAACATTTTCAGTGAAATCCAAGGGCTCTTCTACTTCTCTTGTATTTCTGCTGTGGGGTTTTTTATTATTTATTTATTTTTTATTGAGTGTCTACTTCCAACTCCGTAAGTATTGCAAAGAATTGCAGGGGTCTTCCTTTCCAACTCAAATCACTAGATTACAAAGTCTATCTTGGTTTTTCCTCCTCTGCCTTTGAAGTCATGATTTTAAAAATTATTTTCTTTTTTTTATTTTGGATGCAGAGTGCACACCTTCAGAAGGATGGGTAGTAAAATGGTAGAAAAATGCAAGTGACATGCTTGGTGATGAAACATGCACTTGCAATGTGGAAGGGAGAGGATTTGGTGACACCCGTGCCTCTGCTCTGATTCGTATGTTCATTAACTGCAGATGTAAGATGGGCACTCCAAGAAAAGGAGTTTAGACACCCTTTTATAGGCATTTCCAATAGGCCTAATATGCTGAGAGCTGTTAAACATAACCTAGTTCCTAAACTAGTCCATTGACTTTTTAAGAAATATAGGCAGTAAATTAACATTAAAAAAAAAAATCCTTGAGCTGGACACATAAGATTTAGCTTTTGCAGTGCTCAATCTCTCAACAAATAAATCCCTTTGCTGACTGCCTGCTTATGGCAGATGTGTCCCAGTTTAAGTGGCTAATTTCACAGATGCTCTGACAAGAAAAAAGCAACTGAGTTGTTTTTTTTTTTTTCCCACCAAGAACCAGTTTGAGTTAGGACAACTAGATTTACCACATTATATCCTAAATCTCAAATTGAAACCTAGACTTTGATGTCCAGGTTTTGACACCCCATTTGGATTCAGAAATTAGACAGGCTGGCAGCTAAAACCCAAGAGTGCAGCTATAGTAAGTGTCATTCACATCGTATCTTCGGAGCCCTTAACAATATGTTGCTCTGTATTTTTAACGAGTTTAATGGAAGGTACTATTCTTCTAATAGACTGATGGCTAAAGCATTAATCACAAAGTGGATGATAAAAGTCCAAGAGGGTGATAAAGAGCCCAAGAGTTTATTCAGTCCTAGGGCAATGACCTAATTATGGTGATTAGGTAAAGAAACTTGAAAGGTTCCTCTTCAGAAGCAATTGTCCCTATGTGATCCTACTCATGGTAAAAAAAAAACTCCTACAAAGCAGCTGGAAGGGATGACCTTCATGCAAGTGGCCAGATTATGGTCAGCCACTGAATAACTGCTTTCTGAATTAGTAAAACCATGTAGGATGATTAACTGAACTTCATTTTTTAGCCGGTGTCAGAAGAGTTTCAGAATGGAGAAGGATTTGGATATATTGTAGCCTTCAGACCCAATGGAACACGTGGCTGGAAGGAAAAAATGGTCACATCTTCAGATGCCTCAAAATTCATCTACAGAGATGAAAGTGTGCCACCTCTGACCCCTTTTGAGGTGAAAGTTGGGGTTTACAACAACAAAGGAGATGGTCCCTTCAGTCCGATTGTGGTCATCTGCTCAGCTGAAGGAGGTCAGTTCAACAAAGATAACTTGTATATGAAGAACTGTATTAAGCTATTTTTATATAATGTGTCCTATTTCACCGTGCTTTTTCAATCTTAAGTTTCAAAATTCTTTGTTATCCAGAAAGCAAGTGACTAAGTTTAGGAAAATACTTCAAGCCACATCAATCCTAAACAAAAATGTCTCTTTTAATGAAGGTTAATCCCTAATATAAATCTGAAGTCTTAACTTTAAGCTGAGCTACTCTAGCAATGAGTAAAGAAGGGCTGATATTTTCTAATGGTTCTGAGGTTCATGATCTCTTTTTTTTTTCCTGAGTGAATCAGACAACAGGTAAAAGACTAAATAAATCCACTTATTAATTTTCATTTCCCAGATAATGGATAACAAAAGTGCATATAATGCACTAATATTTTCATTATTTTTTCTATTATTTTCTCTCCTTCTTAGTTAATTATTGCAAAATTCTTTATTGATGTTAATGTCCAAATAGTCAATGTGGATTATATGAACAGATCAACAGAACAAATGAAAAATATTTCTGGAAAATTGCTATCAACTTGTTATAACTCTCAACAGTATTGTGTGAAAGACTAATCTGTATTACTAAAATAAGTTGTTCTATATTCCAGTGTATGGAAATTTCTTACACACAAAAGGTAAAGTAAATGTTATCTACAGGAATATTTTGAGCAGCTCCATTAATGGAAGTCATATACGTCAGTTCTTCTTTACTACACGATCCCTAAGTTATCCCACTATCTCCTGTTAAGAGATTAAAATAAGTACAGAACTAGTACAGATGGGAAGATTTTCATGCTATCTCTACAAAAATGTATTGTGAAGATAATGGTATTTTATTTGAAGCTGGAAAACATTAAATGTTATTCCATATTAGCCCACACTAATATGTAAGTTTGGAGCCATGATGTAGCAGAGATTATCTACTATTTTCTCACAGTAATTATAGCGGTTGGAAATGCTGGTTTTGCTAAAAGCAGTTCCAGTAATTTGTATTCCACTCTTTGGATCAACATTACCAAGTATTCATATTATTATTAGAACAATCACATTTTAAAATGACAAAATTGCCCAGTACAACTTGGACATTTTTACAGTTAACTTCCCTGTTCTTCAATGGAAAATGTTATTGTGAGACCATTGGTGATGGTTTATTATTTAACAATTTCATACTCTAATTAGAAAGTTCAATAAAAATATTGAACTTCAAGGAAAGGGAGGCCAAACCCTAATGGATTTTTTTTTTTTTAATAGCAAAAGCTATTTTAACAAAAAGCTGAATGCTGAAATGTAGTGAGTCGTCATTTCTTGTTATTTGGACAAGACTGGAAATGGAATAATCAGCAATATATGAATCAAGTTTTCTAACATTTCGTTTAAAATTTGAACTTTACAAATGCTCTGAATAGAAGTAATAAAAATAACTTTCTGAGCTCCCAGAGACTATATCCAGAAACCAACTTTTCTGATTATAATTCAATTACTTAAAAGTACCTACCCATCATAACTTTGCTAATTCAGTCTCTGTAACATAGAATCATAGATTCATTGAACGGTTTGGGTAGGGACCTTAAAGATCGTCTAGTGCCAACGCCCCTGCCATGGGCAGGGACACCTTCCACTAGACCAGGTTGCTCAAAGCCTCATCCAGCCTGGCCTTGAACACTTCCAGGGATGGGGCTTCCACAGCTTCTCTGGGCAACCTCTTCCGGTGCTTCACCACCCTCACAGTGAAAACTTTTTTCCTTATATCTAAATTAAATCTCCCCACTCTCAATTTAAACCCATTACCTCTTGTCCTGTCACTACAGGCCCTTGTAAAAAGCCCCCCTCAAGCTTCCTTGTAGGCCCATTCAGGTACTGGAAGGCTGCAATAAGGTCTCCCCGGAGCCTTCTCCTGGATGAACAAGCCCAATTCTCTGCATGTTAGACTTTCCTTTGGTAAGAGGAATTCTATGAGGCTAAATATTTTATAAAACTTATATTTGAGGAAAAAATATAAGATATCTTGAGAATATAGTGCAAAATGAAATTATAAAAAGCTTTTCTCTGGAAAAAACCTTGGTGATATACTGAAAATTTAAAGGAAGAACAAAACAGTTTATTGCAGCTAAGTTCTTGGCAATATGGAGACTGAGACCAATAAATATTTCAGTTTGCTATGAAAAAATGGGGAACTGGTTTTCAAAGAGGCATGGACTTTCACACTTCAGGAGCTAAACAACTGAAGGCACATTTTCTCAAGGATTTCTACTGAAGAGGAGATATTAAATAGAGATTGACAGTACAATATATTATGGTCCTAGGGCTGATGAAACAAAACCTTAGCTTACTTGCTTTTCATCACACTGCTCTCCAAATATCTAGAATAAAGGCCTAGGATAAAGTTATTAAAAGTTAAGGGAATTTCGGTTGCATATTTAAAGGTTTCCCACATTACAGATGGATCTACAATTGTTTACTGGCATAAAAGATTTGTCGAAGTAAGTCTAAAATCTATTGCCTGTGCTAAGCACACAGGATTAAAACAAAAGTTTGCATAGGACAGGTTCTGGACAAGGAAGAAATTTCTTATTTATTAAGAATGAATGTGTCTTCTGTATGAATGTGACTGCATATTGCGTGCTCTCTGATCTACATTTAGAGGCTGTTTGCGGGGGCTCTGAGTTGAGCCTAGACAAGTAGCCTGGCAGGAAGTATTTACCTGTTCCCCTCTGTGAACACAACTGGCTGCCCTTTGATTACATAAAATGTCTCTGACTGAGGCAAAATGCTTAAAAAATGACCTTCCAGTCAGTAAAGAATCTCATAAAGCATGAGAAGCACTGCCATGGTTTAATTCCAGCTAGCAAAATA